ATCTTCCTAAGGAAAAATCAAGGGCTTAGGAAGCAGACCCATGTTCAAGTTCTGATTCTTCTCCTTTTGAATAACTCCCCTGAGTTATCTGGGCACCTTAAGTTTATTTTTAAGCTTTAGTCTCCTCATCTATAAAACCTGGAGAATAACTTTTATCACTTATGATAAATGAAAATCTCATATGTAAAGTCCCTTTTGCAGTTCCTAGAACTGCATATAAATATGCAGTAGTCACGTGATAAATAATGCCATAATTATTTTTATAATTTGTGTCTAACAGAAGGATATAGAAAAGTTCCCTGTGGTGTTTTGTGGTCCAAATGTGGGAAGGGGATTGTGACATAGAAAATCACCACTCAACTTCAGCACTGAATCAGGGGAATGGTTAGAATGGAAACAGATCCAAGAAATAAGCTAAGAGAGGACCCTAGTGTGGCTAAAGTGCATTTGTGAATAAGAATTCAAGAGGTGACTTTGAGAGAAAGGCGGGCAGGGGGTTATTTATTTATTTTTTAAATGTCAGATCAAGAAGCATCTCATAATACACATTTAGCTATAGGAGTTTACAGAGTAGCATGGAGAGGGAGAGAGAGCAATAGAAGTAATATTTCCTGCCCTTTCTAGAGGCCCACAGCCCTGCTTCCACTGGCACACATCTGCTATTTAAAATTACGGTTCCTGGAGCCAGGTTGGCCCATGGCCTGATCATCAAGAAACTGGGTCTAGTCCCAGTTTGCCTTCTGACATACTGCATGGCTCTGAGCGAATCACTTGGCCTCTTTGCCTTAAGGAGAAGGAAAAAAGATCCCTACACCTTGCTTATCTCAAAGGAATCTTTTTAGACTGAAAAAAATTGTTTAACATGCCTCCTGTGTGATGTAATTTACTGTTCGATATGGGAGCATAATTTGATGAAGAGGAAAGCGTCTTTAAATCACAACCATTGTCTCACGGGCAGGGTTAGGTTTATAGCAGTTTGTGGTTTAGCAACAACATTTTCCTGTGGAGTGGGTAGCACAACAGAGTGGTTCAGTGGTTCAGCTCAGCTCAGTGGAAAGAAAGCACATGAACTTCGGAAGGGTGACCACCTGGGCTCCAATCTTCAACTTTGCTGACTTTTAACTCTGTTACCTTATTGAGGATACTAATCTTCTCCAAGCTTAGGTTTCTAGATCTATTAATAAAGACAGCAACACTATGCAAGTTATTGCGAAGATTAAATGAATGGGAAGTTGTTAGCACTGTGTCTGCCATCAGCATTCAAAAATGTTTCTTTTTATTTATTTAAAATTGTTTTGCTTAAGATCTCAATTCCTGGAGTTGTCTGGAGGCCTCTGGGTTCTTGATGACTTGGGAACACATGAGGGCAAGACTAGGAGGCCTCTGTCAGGAGGCCCTTTCAAACAGGTGCCAGGCTGGACAGGCAAAGGGGCAAGTGTAAATACTCCACTGGATTTGCTTCAGCTGGAGGAGCTGAGCCTGCTCCATGCTGAACCTCCGTGGGACATGGGTGGGGACTAATTCTTGGCAGCTTCAGTGGTTTTGGGGGTTCCAGAGTCATCCCAAGATGAGCAGGTGACTAAAGTGCTTATTGTCTCACAGTGGCTATTGCAGGATGAGGTACAGGCTGGGGACATAGGCTGGCGGTTTGGTAACCCCTTCATCTGCTTACAGCGGTTTTCATCCCTTTCCAACACATCTTTGTTAGCTGTCATGAGGCTTCCCGGCATCCGTAATAGTCATCTTTTTAACCAACAGGAAGAGGAAATGGGCTGCTTTTATTACTATCTAGGTCGGCTCTCAGAGCCAGTGGGCTGCAGACCCCAATGGCTTCTCGATGCTCCATCCCTCATTATGCTATTCCCATGGTAACCCTCAGGAAGGGAGGAGAGGGACAGTGAACTATTGAAAGATTAGCTATTTTTAGATTTCTGGCCAGATGCTTTGACAAATCTGTTGAGGGAAAGAAAATGAAGCAAATGTAGAAGAGGATTTTTTTTTTTTTCTGCCAAAGACAATATCATTTAAAATTCATATTATAAAACTAGAACACTAGAAAAGACCTTGAGAAATCATCCAACCTACCACTACCTCTAGGAAGACCTACTTCCAAACCACACCAACAAATGGTGCAATAAGATCTTTTTTTAGAACATTTTATTGGATAGCCTATTCTAATTCATAACCATACTTCCTACTCTAAATTTGTCCCATATTCAATTTCAGTCCTCAGACCAAGGGAGTTGACAAAGAGACTAAGTGTGATTGCTCAACGTGTGGAGAGTACAACCCTGGGGGAGCCATTTATTTAGACCATGCTACCAGTGATACTCCTTAGGTTTGTGCAGTGCACATCTTGCACGACTAGGTGCAGTGACCCTTCCTGATTCATCTTCTTGAAATGTAAACCTGATTCGGTAAAACCCCTCCCATGCTCTTTAAAAGCCTCCAGGGATTTCCTATTGCTCTTAGGTGAAAGGCCTTAAATATTTAAAGTGGCTATGAAACACAACATGATATCAACCCTACTACCTGTGCAGATTCATTTAGTACCATTCTATTTTTCTCTCTTTGTGTTTCAAGAAATGACCTTTGAAGAAACTCAAACATGCCATCTCTTCCTCCCATCTGCAGATCTTTGTATTTGCATGTAATACTTTTCACCACCCTCTCTACTTAGTTAATTTCTATTGACTTCTTCCTATCCTTCCAATCTCAGCTCAAATATCAGAAAATACTTTATTGATCTCTATGAAAAGTCACTCCTGCAAAATGCTCCTCCAACTACTTGTACATTTCCTTCACAGGACCTAACAGTTTGTAATTCTGTATTTATGTACCCTTTAGTATTTTTATTACTTTAAACTATGAGCTTCATGTTGACAGGGAATTATGTAGTAGCCCTGATTTTTTTCAGTGTTTTATTTTTGTTTGTGTTCTTAATCTTAAAAATATCATGAGGTGATGTGTAATATTTTTTTCTGCTTAATTTGGGACAGTGCCATGTTTTAAGCTGTATACTAGCTGTTTTTGTAGTCTCTCTTTCCTAACCTTCTTGGCAAACCTGTTAGGCAGCTATTGTTATTATTGCATTTTACAGATGAGAAAAGTGAGGCTTAACAGTTCATGAGCTTCCCAATTCCCACAGAAGGCCAGTGGCAGAGCCGAGGTGTATCTGACTTTTAAGCTCATGTTCTCTCTACCCTAATGGTAATAAATAGGCAGTTTATACCATATTCAGCCTCCAGATATATAGGTCCATATGATATTTTAAAACATTTTTAATTAGGTGCCACCATTTAGAAATCAAAAAATTTCCTGTAACAATCTAGGTTTTAAGCTTCTATGTAAAGTAATCATATACTACAACACTGGAGTCACATGCCTACAGGCCAACAATTGCCTGAAGCTGTGTAATGTTTTTCTCTTTAAGATGTCACTTTCTGGGCCGGCCTGGTGGCACACTGGATAGTGTGCCACTTGGGAGCGCGGTGGCACTCCCGCCGAGGGTTCGGATCCCATGTGGAGACCGGTTCCCGCTCACTGGCTGAGCGTGATGCGGGCACAACACCGAGGGTTGCGATCCCGTTGCCGGTCAGTAAAAAAGACAAAAAGGAAAAAAAAAAAAAAAGATGTCACTTTCTCTGCTTTTCCCTAATATTTTTTTTTACCACTGACATGCTCAGCAGTTATGATATCTGGACCCTCTAGACCTCTGGGTTCTCAACTTCTACATTCTCTTGAGGAAAGAAATGATTCTTACATCTTTAATAAATTTTGTCTTCAGGGATAAAACATTCTCTCTCTCCACGAGGTGGAGACCATTGTACTGACTCGTCATGAGATTGGACCTTTTCAGTACTATCTGACAATTTGCATGTTTGCAGAGTCAATTGATTTCTTTGAATACAAAGAGAGGGGGCTTAGTGTCCTACTGGCTGGTTTTAGTATTTAGCTAGCTGCCTGGAATGGTTTCCAATCAGTTTTGGATTCACAGGAGTTTTACAAGTAGTGTGGTTGTGTTTTTAACAAGTGTAGCCGCATGAGGACTCATGTATTCCTTGGTCTCATGGCATAGTTGTATTCTGTACAGCCTCCTTCAAGGAAGATTGTGATAAGGAAGCAGAGGAGCCTTCCTGCTGATGTCAGGACCTACCTGCTAATGGCCCTTTGCATGCTCTAGCAGCACTGGGCAGGGTTTTACAGACAAGCAGTCACTGATTTCTGACTTAGGTGGAAACGGAGAAAAAGGTTCTCAGATAGGGCAGCCTTCACCTTGGTTTTGAGTGTTGCTTGCCTCTGCTCCAGTACATCTGATTCTTTGTTTCCTTTCTATGCTTGGCTTTCACCCACTGCTCACCTCAGTGTTGGCTTCTGTGCACTCCCATTCTGGGCCTTTCCATCTTTAATTCCTGTGGCAGAGCCCTCTCATTGGCATATTGCAGCCTCATCACTCACCTGAGCACATGCACGTGTGTGTGCTACTTAAACCTCAGAACAATCCTGTGATATAGGTCTTGTTATTCTTAGGAAATTGTGGTTCAAAAGACTGTAAAATTTGGTAAGTTGATAAGTAGAAGAATTTACAACTAGTTAAATGCTAACCTTGACTATTCTGTGGTATATGAGCATTTTAGTTTGGGTTTAAGAGGCAGATATAGTAATTGAACAATGTCTATAGTACTTAAGAAAACTCACTCAGCCATTCATTATTTTAGTGCGTGGCATCCCATGTGGGACATCATCAATTTTACTTAATGTGTTACTAAGAAAGGAAGAAATTAAATTGTACCATTTAAATTATATTAATTGTTATCTCTATCCCAATTACAGATATTCTAACTTAAAAAAGACATCTTAGAATTGACAAGGTGCTCATTCAACTTTTATTGCATGCTTTTAATGTGTAAAACACTTGCTAAAACTTGCTAGTTGTCTTTAAATAAGAAGACATGGAAAGAAAAAATGAACAGACTTACTTTATGATGCTTTCCCTTTAGCAACCACCAACTGAACTGGAATTTGACCGTGTCGTGATTTATACCACTTGCCTTCGCGTGGTTCGGACAACCTTTGAAAGATGTGAACTGGTCAGAAAGATCTTCCAAAATCATCGAGTAAAATTTGAAGAGAAAAACATAGCTCTGAATGGTGAATACGGAAAAGAGTTGGATGAACGATGCCGACGAGTTTCTGAAGCTCCTTCCCTCCCTGTCGTGTTCATCGACGGCCATTACCTCGGAGTAAGTACTCTGCTAAGGAAAATCTTTTTCACAGAATCCAAGTAGTGCTGATAGCAATATATAAGCCTATATGACAAGGTAACTTGCAACATAACTACCTGGACGTCTGCTGTTTTTGCACTCAAACCAAAGTGATCGAAGCACTTATTTCTCTTCCAACCAATGTACTGCCACAGTGCTCTTCCCAGCACAAGTATGGTGAGAGAAAATCAGCATGAAGTTGCCTTTTTAAATAGGACTACATTTTTAAAATGTTCAGTTGACTTGAGTTTTGCATTGTGAAGTTTGACAGGTGGGATAAAAACTACTTTTTTTAGCACAAGCAAGAAAAATGGAATATTTATAAGATATATACTTGTGAATTCTTTTATACCCCACTATTGAACATTCAGTTTCCTACCTAATGAACCTAAGATGACAGTCCTGAAATGAAATCAATAAAAAATGGGGCCTGGAGCCAGAATTTTATCTGCTTGTTGTTTAAAATTATCCTTGATTTTGGTAATGTGGTAGCGTGGGACATAAATTCAGGCTTACAGTAAGCAGAGATAACTCCCAGAGCAGCAACAAAACATGCCTGCTTCATTTCTCTTTGAATAATACTGTTAGCATAATTAACCCCTCTTGATCTATGAATATGCTTGGGTAAGAAGCCCAAGGAGAGGGCTTTGGAGAGTGTACTTTGAAAAGGGTAAGAGCAAAGAGCCAAGGGGCACCAGCAACCGGTTGGGGGGAGAGCTGGCTACATGATCGCTAATCAAAGAACAAAGAGTCTGTCAGAGTCCAGATGGATACTTGGATCTTGGTTCATTTTGCATCTGGTCTTAATCTTTAGCTTTCAGGGTAAGTTAGAAAAATCTAGAGCAAGGAGACGCTCATATTTTGTTTCCAGGAATCTGTTTTTTAATATCCTGTCCACAGCCACAGCTGTTAGAGGCAGCCTGTCATCTCATGGAAAGATAAATGCAGAGAAGCCACGATTCAATACTTATGACATTGTGCAACCTTGCTTTTAACCAGAGCTGGACACAGACTACATTCTGAAGTAGAAGAAATTTGATTTGAATATTGGTCTTCTACTTAGTATATTTCAGCACATACTCCTAGGTGTCAGAAAACTACAACAATGGCAATGATAACAGTGATATAAATAATAGTAATAATAATAACAGTATACCCCACTCTCAGCTTTCCACCTGTCATCTCATCTAACCCTTAGGATAGGCTTAGGAGTCGACTCTCTTATGACATAATGGTTAATAGACAAGCACAGGAGTCAGAGAGCCTTGTTTCAGATTCCTGCTGTGATACATATCATGTGACTCTGTGCCTTGATTTTCTCAATTGTAAAACCATAATAATAATAGAACCTATAGGCTAATTGTGAGTATTTTATGAGATAATACATACATGTGCCTAGTTCCTGTGCCTGGAACAAAGCATGTTTTCAATAAATACTAACAATTATCCAAAAGAAAACATTAATTCTTTTGTTCCAAGTGTCATAACCAGCTAAGTGGAAGGGCCAGGACACAGTCAGGTCTGTATGACTCTCCAAAACCTTGCTCTTGGCACATCTCCTCAAGGAAAGGGATCTCTGACTGTTTGCAGATATAGTTTTAGCACCGAGAACAAGGCTTGGCACGAAGTAGATGCTCAAATAAACACATGTTGAAAGGAGGTATGAATTATGCTGCATTGCCTCCTCACATTCTTTCCTTCTCTCCTTAAAACACTCTTCCACAAAGAAAGGATCTGATAAACTCAACCATACCAGGGAGAACATCACTTATTAAGGGCTGTGGATATTTGCCTTTTAACTCAGGAAAAATTCTGACAACGTAAGGTATTTCTCATGGTGCAATTTCAATTTCTGTGAAACTGCACAATTAAAATTAGTGGATGACTGCCTGCTTACACAGGTGTAAGGTTGGCCCCACCTGGTATACTGTTCTGACCAGTCCTATTCCCATTCTGAAGCCAAACTGCTTATTGTCTTCCTACTTCTGAAGCCATATAACAGGCTGCAATGCCTGTCCTGCTATTTGTCTTTCAGTTTGACAGACAGAGGGAGAACGCAACAGACAAATGACACAGGCAGCGTGTTTCTTTCTCAGTTGCTCTTTCTCTGTGATCACTGTATTTACCTACATGGTAGCCTAGGGAGGAAGTATCACACAGGTGCTACCTTGATGCTTCTGTAATGGCCCAAACCTGGAGAGAATCCAGAAACAGAGATGATTTCCCCCCCCTTTTTTGCCTTGTAAAATGAGAATTACTTCTAAACCTATAATTCAAAATGGAAAACACTCCAGAACAACTTATATAACAAATTCCCCTCCTACTACAACAGCCCCTTTATTTAAATTCCAGTGCACAGTTGTAAATGGGATGCATTTCTTGAATTGGAGAGCCCTTTTCCTGCACTGTTCATGCATCTGAAATGGAAGGATGCCCTCTGCTGGGTTTTGGCACATGGTGAAACACAATGTTTAGGGAGGAAAAGAAGCTGATGTTGGTAATTTCCTTAACATCTGTGGTGTTTTAAACAGCTATGTGAAACCATTTGATTTAGTTTAAATTTAGATGGGTGAGAAATATCAAGATGTGTGAACCATCTGTACAATGCAACTTTCTTTAAGGAGGGAGAGAGATAAATAGAGAAAAAGATAGAAACATCCAGAGAATAAGTTAGACAGAGACAGGAAGGCAGATGGAGGCAGCCTGGGGGAGACAATGTGGTGGGACAGGGAAATCAGGAGAACATTTTGTTGCTCCTTTATCGTTCTACTGTCATTGCCACCTAACCCAAGGTGAGTGGTAGCAGAGAAATTCAGTTATCTTCATGGAAGTGAAGATAATAAAGTACAAAGGGGAATTGACAAGGACATTAAGCTCTTTTTTCCTGATGACTCCTTTCCTCAGCCAAACTAAAAACTAAAGGTGGAAGCAATGAAATGCTCAAGGGAAAGAAATTGCTTTAGAAGACGAATCTACACTGCCCCAGGATGCTCCATTAAGTAAAATTAAAAATAAAAAAAGCAAATTCAGTTTGGAACTTGCTTAGGGAAATTGTTCTGGCTTCAGGAAATTGTTTTGGCTTCAGAAAATCTTCACACAAAACGACTGTGTTGCAACAGTTTGTACATACACTATCTTGGAAATTCCAGTAGGAAATAAGGTGAGAAATAGTGACTTGTCTGAACCAGCCACAAACCTTTACAGTGGAAATCCATAAGACCATATTAGAATGGAACTGTAAAACAGAGAATGAGCCTCAGTGGGGTCTCAGTGTGGCAACAAGGAGGGGAATAAAAGGGGCTTTATCTAGATAGTCTCTTAAACTAGCTGATACAGAGATGTGACTGCTTGATACTTCTCTACTTAAAGTACTGTATTATTTAAGGATGAAGGCATTTATTATTGAGTGTAGTTAGTTTACAGACTAGAAATACAGACTCTAGGCACATTTCTAAGGACTACTCACAAAACTTCTCAGCCAAAATGGGCTCCCAAGGAAGTTTCTGCCATAATTAAGAAGCAGTCAGCTTCAGAAACTCACTGTCTTTGTTGTGATTCACACAAGCAAAAGGATTATTTGTTCTCTGCCCTTTTTTCTACTTAATTCTCTCTGTAAGTAAAGTCTGGAGTGAGTGTATCTGATTTGTGGTTACTAAATAACTCACAAACTTAACTGTTAGGGAATCTGGGAGATGTACTTTTTATTTTTCTAGCCTCTGCAGCCCAGGAAGACATTCTAGGAGATTGGAATGGTTACTGAGTGAGCCAAGTGGCAGTATCTGCCAGATATGATCTATTTTCACTTATTTTTTGTTTGTTTAGTTTAATCAATTTTATTGAGGTATAATTGTATCCATTTAAAGTATGCAATTCAAAGAGTTTTACATATGTGTACATTCATGAATCTACCAACACATTCAAGATATATAGCATTTCCAGGACCTGCAAAATATTCCTCATGCCATTTGGCAGTCAATCCCTTCTTCCAGCTCCAGTCTCCTGGCAACCATTGGTCATTCTGTCAATATAGTTTTCTATTCTTGTAAAGTCTTTGTCTGCTTTGGGTATCAGAGTAATGATGACCTCATAGAATGAGTTTGGAACTATTCTATCCTCTGGAATTTTAGTTTCTGGTGCTCTTTATTCATTGGTGTAAATCTTTATTTTTATCTTACATCATTTTCTTTTCATCTGAAGAACTTACATACTGCTATTGTAGTGCAGTTTTGCTGTACATGAATTCTTTCAGATTTTTAAAAAAAAATTTCTGAAGAGTCTTTGTTTAAGCTTTGTTTTTAAAATATATTTTTGCCAGGTATGGAGTTATATGTTGAAATTTTTATTTCTTTCTTTCAGTACATATGGTCCCTGGTTTATTTTGGTTCTGCATACAATTTTTTAACTTTAAAATGTTGGGAAAGTTATACACATTTAGTAGAAACTCTATTTTGAGTACCCACATAACCATTCTGTTTTTCACTTTCAGTCCAGTATTCCATAAATTATATGAGATATTCAACACTTTATGATAAAATAGGCTTTGTGTTAGAAGATTTTGCCCAACTGTAGGCTAATCTAAGTGTTCTGAGAACATTTAAGGTAGGCTAGGCTAAGCTATGCTGTTTAGTAGGTTAGGTGTATTAAATGCATTTTTGACTTAATGATATTTTCAACTTATGATGGGTTTATTGGGATATAACCCCATTGTAAGTCAAAGAGCATCTGTACCTTAGAGTTGCTCTTCTATAGTCTTACTTGTATTATTTCTGATAGAAAATCTGCTGTCATACTCATCTATGTTCCTCTGTATGTAATATGTCTTAGTACCTCCACCATCCCAGCTGCTTTAAAAATTTTTCTCTTTATCAATGGATTTGATAAACTTGATTACCATATGTCTCGCAGTTTTTTAAAAATTATTATTTTTCTTAGGGTTCATTGAAATTCTTGAATCTGTAGGTCTACTGTTTTTA